CCGGCTCCCCGCACCGAGCCAGGCACGGCCCGCAGTGCCGCCTCAGCAGAAGGCTCCTGGAAGAGCCGAGGCCCCGCTCTTTAGAGAGCCTCATCGCTGCCGCCTCCCCGGATGGCGGAGCCGCCAGATCCCGTTCGCTGGACAGCAGCCTGGCTAAGGCCGAGCCTTCACAGGCAGCGCAGCAGTCCCCGCTGGTGGGGATCCCCCTGAAGAGTCCCTGCCTGGAGCAGGAGGAGGCCCAAAAGGCCTTAGAAGAAGATGCCCATCCGCAGGAAGGAGCAGCCAAGGAGCTTCCCATGAAGCCCACTAGCAAGGAGGGTCCCTTGGAGTGCTTGGACTCACCTCCGGAAGGGAAGATAGGGAGCTGGGGGTCTGCTGGAGAAGGTGCAACCCAGGCAGGGTTGCAGCAGCAGGAGTGGCTCTCTGGCAACAGTTATAGCCAACTGGTGAAGCAGAACATGGACCTGTTAAGTGCCCTGGAGGATCTAGAGCGACGATGCACAGCTCTTAAGGAAGAGAATGGCCTTCTAAGGAGAAACAGTTTTCCTGAAATGCAGGAGAAGGTGAAGCGGTTGAAGAGGAAAAATGCAGAGCTGGCCATCATTGCCAAGCGATTGGAAGAGAGAGCCAGGAAACTCCAGGAGTCCAACCTAAAGGTGGTCAATGCCCCAATACCACTGCCCTTCAAAGGCTCCAATGTGGAACTATGCAAAAAAGCTTTTGCCCGGCAGCGGGCAAAAGATTTAAGCGAACAAGCCAGCATCCTTCTGGCCAAAGATAAACAGATAGACAGTTTGCAAAGAGAGTGTTGGGAGCTGCAGGCCAAACTGGCCACAGGCAAGGAAGGCTCATGCTGGCTCAATTTAAGTGATTTTGATCATTTGTTGAGGGAGTCTCAGAAAGAAGTGTTACGTTTACAGAGACAAATCACACTGAAGAACTTGAAAGAGTCTCTACAGTTCTCCAAAATTGGTCCAGACACTGGTTCTTCAGCTCCTACCATGTGCCTAACACAGGAAACACTCGTGACCCACATTGATAGAAGCTTAGATGCTTCATCTTTGCCAAAACAAACACCATCAGGATCAATCATTTTGGTAAAGGACATTAAACCAGTAGTACCATGTTTGGGAAATGTGTCTGAGGAATATGAAAATATCCCTTTAAAAACAGACTCAGACAGCAAAAAAATACAGCAGTTGGAAATAGAGCTTAGTAAAAAAATTAAGCAGTGTGAAACCCTTGAACAAGAAGTGGAGAAAAAGCAGAAAAAATGTGAAGAGTTGGAAATGCAGCTTAGAAAAGTGCTGATGGAAAATGCCAGAATGGCTGAGGAAAATGCTCAACTCAGTGGAAAAACTAAATGGACTGAGAAGGTGGAATCCGAAAATGCTGACTTAAAGGAGAAATTAATGGGCATGACAGAGGAAAAGAATTCCGCTGTCCAATTGACCGAAGGACTTCAAACCAAGGTAGAGGATCTAGAGCTTATTTTGAAGGACATGAAAGAAATGGCAGAGAAAAGGCAGCAGCTGGAAGTTGACCATGAGGAAGCACTGTTAGCACTTCAGAAGAAAGAAGAGGAGGTCAAATATTTGCAGCAGGCTCAGATAGAAGCAAAAAGGGAACATGAAGATGTAGTACAGCTATTAGAAGCCCAGGTAAGAGAATTGGAGAATCAGTATCATAGTCAAACTGAACATTTTAATCTTCTGTCTCAGGAACTTGAACAATTACAAATAAAAAATTCTGACCTTATGTCTTCAGAGTTGCCACATTCTATGTGCCATTCCTCAGAAGATTGCCATGCTCTTCAGTGCAGTAAAAATATTAATCACATAGAGTTTGTGGCCACTCCAACAGCTTCTAAGAAACAAACCAAGAAACTGGAGTTCCAGTCAAACTCTTCAAAATCAGAATCCATACAGTACAGTCCAAAGTATTTTCCCACTCCAGAGGGAGATAGTGCAAGTGAGATGGATGAAGTGGAGACAGAGAAATTTTCCCTAAGCTTGGAGCCTGAGAGACAAGGTCCTGCAAAACTTCAAGTTTTTTTAGCTCGTTACAGCTATGACCCTTTTGATGGTCCTAATAAGAACCCTGAGGCAGAGCTTCCCCTGACAGCTGGAGAATACGTTTACATCTATGGAGACATGGATGAGGATGGCTTCTTTGAAGGAGAGTTGATGGATGGCAGAAGAGGGCTGGTTCCCTCTAATTTGATAGAAGAAGTTTCAGATGATGATCTCATGACTTTTGTGCCTCCAAAGACAAGTAATCTCTCCTGTGCTTCAGATCATGAAATGAGTTTCCTCAGCAGAAGTGCTAGTAGTGGTGAAAAGAGTGAAGATGAAGAAATCCTTGTCAGTCTATTGCTTAATAGACTAGAAGGAGACATGGAGATGCCTGATGATCATGTAGCTGTGCCTTGTCCACGAAATTTGACTCTAATCAAACAATTTACAGGAAGTGTTGTTATATTCTGGGAGCCACCACTCATGCCAGCTGGCTGGGGAGATGTGCAGAGCTATAACATTTACATAGATACAGAACTATACCAAAATGTAAGGTCTGGTTGTCAGACTCAAGCAACAATTGAGAATTTGGATTTAAAGTTTAAGTCATATCGGATCTCTGTACAAAGTGTGACTGAGAAGGGAAACTCAGATAAGAAGCAATGCACTTTCCTCGTGGGGCATGGTTTCCATATAGCGCCAGCACTTCTGAAACTTAGGAGTGTCACTGCCACTTCAGCAGAGGTCACTTGGTTGCCAAGCAGTAGCAACTACACTCATGCAGTGTACCTTAATGAGAAGGAGTATGATGTAACAAAGGAAGGGATCTACTGGTACACTTTCTACAACTTGCAACCCAACACTCAGTACAAAGCAAGAGTGGAAACAAAGCCTCAGAAGTTACTATGGGATTTGCCTCAAGAGGAATGGGAACAGAAATCTTCAATGATTAAATTCATTACACCATCAGTGGGACCACCTGATGCTCCACTTGATGTCCAAGTACAGCCTGGTCACTCAGCAGACATTCTAGTTATCAGTTGGATACCAGTGACAATTGATGCAGCAGGATCATCTAATGGGGTACAAGTTACTGGTTATGCTGTATATGTAAATGGTCAAAGAGTAACTGAAGTTATGTCTCCAACAGCTGGGAGTGCCATATTAGAACTGTCCCAATTAAAGATGCTACCAGGATCTCAGAGGGTTTCTGTGAGAACTGTATCACCCAATGGAGAATCAGTTGATTCTGTGCCAGCTCTGATTCCCTCAGCTGTCTTGAATGTTCCCTGTTGTTCTTCATCATTAAAGTCCCTGTCTACCAGTCTGAACTCTGAATTGCTCTATGGGGAATTAATAGACTCTCAGAATGTGAAAAACTCTTTCATGCATTTCATGTCTTCTCCCTCTTCAGAGATGTGCATGGCCAGTCAAGATGAAAAATTCACCATTCATTTTGCCTCCAACTGTGGAGACTCAGTAGCTTCTCTGCCAGCAAGCATCCCCACACACCAGTTCTCCTCTCAGAGTTCTTCCTTGATAAATGAGCTTGCAATGTGCAACACTGGTGATAATGTAGCAAGAGATAAAGATGATAATTGTTTAAAGTCTTATCAGACAGCAGTCAGCGTGCAACCTGTGGACCTTGTCTTTCCATCCAGATGGTATGAAGAATCAGTCAATTCCAGTATGCCAACATTAAAAGAACTTTCTGAAGACAGCCAGAGAAAGAGGGTAAAAAAGCTCTTTGTAACTAAAAAAGCTGTACTTGAAAATCAAACGGTCACTAGTAACGTGAAAATGTCTATGACCACCCAGTGTGTGCACCCTGATGACAAGTCTGTGAAAGATTCAACCACTCAAGATATTGAAGGCTATGATGAGAGCTGCTTAAGTTCTGTACCTCAGCTGTGTTCTAGTCAACTTGAATTAGAGGAGGAATGTTACAGAGACATAGGTATACAGGGTATCTGTGTTCAGGAAATCCCAGATGTTTCCACTGAGAAGAAACAGATGAAAGAATTATCCAAAGAAGACCCTAGCCTTGGGATGCCTAGAAGTGAAATACAAGAAGACCAAACGTCAAGAACAGGAAACTGGCAATTGAATCCTGTTGGTGATCACAGCCATAGTTCTGATCTTTCAGATATTTTGGAAGAGGAAGAAGAAGACCTGGATTTAAACATGCAGGAAGAAAATATATTAAAGATGGCTGGTAATGATAACAGTCTAACAGAGCTTCCAGAGTTTCCCATGCAGTGGGTGGCTCAAAACAGAAATATGAGCAAGTCTTTAAGAGTAGGCCAAGCAGGGACATCTTCATTTTCTAAAACAGGCCCTTTGAAAAGCTTTGTCTCAGAGGAAATAGTGAATGATGATTCATTAAGAATGTTTGTGGCCCTTTTTGACTATGATCCCATATCTATGTCACCTAATCTTGATGCAGCTGAAGAGGAGCTCGCATTTAAAAAAGGGCAGATTCTAAAGGTGGTTGGTGATAAAGATGATGATGGCTTTTACAGAGGTGAATATGCAGGTAGGGTAGGGTATATTCCCTATAATATGGTGTCTGAAGTGCATGTGGAGAGAAATGAAATGAAACAGCATCTGTTAAAACAAGATTCTGTTACTGATGAAAAATCTGTGAGTAACTTAGTGGAGGTGGATGCACAGAATAACAGTAAGTCTGTCTCAGAACACAGCTTGCAGGATAGCAAAGATGAACAGCTTCCTTCTAAGACAATGGTGGCTGTCTGTGATCACAACCCAGGGGAGAACTCATTAAATGCAAATGTGGAAGGTGTACTCACATTTAGTGTTGGGGACATCATCACAGTATTTGGGTCAGTGGATGATGATGGATTCTACTATGGAGAGTTCAATGGACAGAGAGGCTTTATTCCTTCTGACCTTCTCACAGCTATTTCTTGGGATGAAGAATAAAAGAGTATTCATTTGAAAGAGACCTTTGCATAGAGCTATAGAAGAACTGAAGAATCTGATATATCAACAAAAAAGCACACATTCAATCTATAGTGAAGTGTAGCATTAAAAACTATCCATAAAAATGCCTTCTACAAAAAATATATGTTAAACAACTATAGGTATATACAGTAATGATGTGAAATAGCTCATTAAAGCATGACAAATAGGTTTTTTTGTAAGGGGTAAGTGAACTTCAACTACTTTTTAGCATGTCTTTTTCTGGACAAATAAACGATTCACTAGCCCTCATCTCCTCTTCTTCATTGAGAGCTGCAGTTCAAAAAGAAGAAAATGTTCCAAATGTGTAGAATGCTACACTGACAGTGGGCAGAATGTTCTAATTGTGGACACAGAGTAGACCTATTTAGAACAGTGTCCAAATGATTTCCGCTCTCAACTGAATATCTGCCCTTTTTGTTTTAGATTTGATTTTAAGGAAGACACTAGTTTCCCTCTAGCCAGTGGCTCCCATGAAAACTTGTATTATCTAAGAGAGACTTTAACACTCTGGTTTCTTTTTGGGATTTACCCTGGAATTTCTCTTTCTGATTTCAGAATGGGAGATCTGTAATTTCTCAACATTTGTTGAAAAGAATGTCCTTTTCTGCTGCCACTGAAGTCAGTAGGAGATTTTCAGTTGTCTTCAAAGAGAGCTGGTTTGCGTCCACTGGTTGCACTTTATTGTCTCACATCTCAGAGGTTACTAACATCACATAAGTCATGCTCCACATAGGAGTTCATACCAAAAGCATTCTTGAACTAAAGGCTACGTTAAATAGTTTTGCACACTGTAGAGCTTACTTTTGCTTCAGAGAATCATCATCCCAAAGACAGGTTTTAATAGGAAGGGTTTGGTTGGGTTAAAGTTAGATTCTCAATCTGGAGGTGTTTCCGTTCAGGCACAAACTTACTTGCAGGAACAGAGCATCCTTTTGAGCAGATTGTGTTGAAAATGGAGTGGTAGTGTCTTGTCTTAAACTTATTTAAATATTTTGCTTGTTCATTTATGTACTGAGATATTTATGTAAATAATTGTTTTTATATTTAAATACTTATTTGACTACAGAAGCTGTGAAAAGTATCTTAAAGTTCTTGGGGTAAGATCAGAGCTATATGTGTAGATGAGTTTGAAAACAGGAGAGTTTGCAGATATTTACTTACGAGATGTATTTTTCCTGTTATAATGTTACTTTTTAGACCTATGGGAAGTTTACAATCTTTTATACTATCTTTTATTTTCCTTGCATATTTCACTTTTATTGTCTTAAGAAAGCAATATATTTAATTTTCAAGTTTGCATTTTAAAATTGATATCCATGGGTGCTGGTGATACATTTTTTTATGTAAAATATTAATATAATAAAGCCTATTTTCTTATTTTCTGAGAATTTGCCTCTGTTCTTCATTGACACTTAAAGTGGTGTTTTAAACTTGCAAAATTTTGATTCAAAGTTTTTTTACTTTTCTTGTTTGGTTTTTCCATTTCATTCTGTGTCTAAACAGTCTCAGAGGGGTAGCCATGTTAGTCTGTATCTGAAAAAACAACAAGAAGTCCTGTGGCATTTTAGGGTGCATCTATACAATAACTTTGCAAGTGTCCACACAGTGAGCCTGTTATTTCAAAATAATTTCAAAATAATGTATAGCTTATTTTGGATTCTATAAACCTCATACTGCGAGGAATAATGCCTATTTCAAAATAAAGGGCCTCCAAGAAATCCCACAGGTGCCCTGCTGGCTGTTTTGTCGACACTCATCACAACTCTATAGCTTCCCTTATTCTGCAGCCCTTAAAGCTGGAAGTAGAAGGGAAAGGGCTTGTGGCAGGAAGCAGGCCCTGCCATTCCTCTGCCACACTGCAGCAGCCTGCACAGATGTCACTGCTGCCATGAGCCACCCCCATGCTTTGTCTGAGCCCTCCACAGCTTCAGCTGAACAGGCAGCAGATTCCCAGAACCCTGCCAGGCGACAGAAGAGGTGCACGCCTTCCTGGTCTGGTGCAGAGATCCTGGCCTTCACTGAAGTCTGGGGAGAGGAGGCAAACCTCCAGGATCTCCATACCTGATGAGGGAATGCAAACATTTATGGCCGCATAGCTGAGAGCCTGAGTACCAAGGGCCACATCAGATGCGGATGAAAGTTAAGGAGCTGAGGCAGGCCTATGCCAAGGCCAGCACTCCTGCTCCAAGGCTGAACCCCACACTTGCCACTATTACACAGAGCTCCACTGCATCTTAGGGCGCGGGTCAGTCTCTCCCTCCCCCCCAAGTAGTGGACTCAAGACTGGAGATGCTTTTTGTCATCCTCCTGGGGGACAGAGACGCAGAGGAGAAGGAAGAAGAGGAGCTGGACAAGGCTAACACCATCATGATGCTCACCCTTGAGCTGATAACCCATGCCCTGGATGTCTCCCAGGCATTGTCCAAGGCTACGTACTTTCTCTGCACACACAGGGTGGAGGTGGCAGGGGGTGAAGGGCTGGGGGGCACTCTGCTCAGCCTTCTTGGCTGGGGTTCAGCATGTGGAGCACTAGTTTGGGGCATACAGCCCCAGGAGGTTGCACCAGAGTACCCTTGTGATATTGTTCACAGGGTCTGTGGAGCCCTGCCATACTGACACTGGGGTGGGACACTCTCCCACCACAAGCCACCATTAGAAGGAGGCTGCTGCGGACTTGGAGACACATACACACAGGAGTGCTGCACACAGTACACAGGCATGCCTGCACTCTTAGGAGAGCACCCGCTCAGGGGAACAGTGCAGCGAAGCGCATGAGCATCAGCTGCTCACACACACCTTCCCACCAACACCCTTTCCCCCTCCTTAAGCTGACAAGTCCTCTCTCTGTGGGACACTGCCATTGCCAGATCCACACATGAGCAGCACAGAGGGAAGCCCAGCCATCCTGTGGCCCCACTCTTGCCCACAGGATCCTATCTAGCTGCCACCTTCCCAAGCCTACTTGTCCCCATGATGTGGGGGTGGTAAGGCTCCCCCCTTGGAAATGGCCTGCTGTCAAGTCTACAGCTAGCCATGCTCATGGCCCCCGCTTGCCAGCCCCCCCGCACGTCCTCCC